TTTGACAGGATAAGCCCTTTCAGGAACCATAACAATTACACCCAGTAAGCAGCTCTTACTACTAGGTGCACATTAAGTAAAACAGTTCACAGAAGCAGAACTGCAACAATGGTAAAAAAAGGTTCTTTTTTACCTAATTCTATAAACTACCAACAACAAACAGCCTTTGACTTTTTGCCTTTTTTCTGATAACATGCCATAGGAAGCTGCTTTTGTAGTAGCAACTGTTATATCTCCTGTGTGTACATATACATGTACATAATATTTATGGGTTTAAGAACTAAAATATATTTTAACTGTTGTATATATATAGTAGAAGAAGCCTTATAAATACATGTAGAAAAAGAGGCAAATATGCATATACATGAAATAGAATATTGATCTCTTAGAACAATAAAGTGTGAGTTTTAATGACTGTGAGTCATTAAAATATACATGGGCATAAAGGTAATTGCTACTATATCCCCTGTAAAAAAAGAACATGTAAGATGCAATTCCTTGAAAAACACAATATAGATGGAATTTCGGGTAAATCCTAATGGCCATTGATGATAATTTCACAACAGAAATGAGAGAATTATGCAGAAAATAACTTTTTCCCCCCTCATTCTGAACTTCAGAGTCTACTAAGAGGCTGAGCATATTTATAATTAGCTGTGCAGAGATAAATGTTTAAATCTCAAGAAATTTCTTACAATATAATGAAAAGCTGTGTCATACTGTCATATAGAAATTTTTATGTTCCACAAGCTTTGATTTAGAGTGGGAATTTTCAGTTTACAGTTTAATTGGATGATGAAAACCGGCTGTATTAATTGTTTAAAATCTAAATGTCTTTCTGTTGTCATCAGCTGCAGGAGCTTAATGGTTTTGATAGAGTAAGTCCTGGGGCTCTGCAAAGCAACTGTGCTCTGTTCTCTCTGGACATGGGATTACTCAGTTTCTCCATGGTGATTCATCTGGGTAATTCAGGTCTGGGTTGTCAAGTCCAGAAGAGGCTCTTATCCAACTGTATTCAGAAAGAGATGGGAATGGATGACTGGGGAATCTAAATGACTGTTTTCTCCAGATGGATCTGCTGCACTGCATTGGTTTTGCATGGCCTGGTTTTTGGCAGCCAGAGGTGACTTCTGTGAGAAGCTGCTGGAAGCTTCCACTATGTCCTGCAGAGCCAATCCCTGATGGCTCTAAAGATGGACATGCTGCTGGCCAAGGCTGGGCCAAATAGAAATGTTGGTGATGCCTCTGTGATAACATATTTAAGAAAAAAATGAAAACAAAGGGGTGGTGCAATTTCAATTCCAGCCAGAGAAGAGGATGCGGTGAGAACATGTGAGGGAAACAACAGGGAGACACCAAGGTAGTGGAGAAGGAGGGGCAGGAGGTGCTTGAGGTGACAGAGCCAGAATTCCTCTGCAGGCTGTGGTGAGACCATGGTGAAGCAGCTGTGCCCCTGCAGCCCGTGGAAGCCCATGGGAGATGTAGAGATCCACCTGCACCCTATGGGGGAGATGCTCACACTGGAGTGAGTAGATGTCCTGGAGGAGGCTGTGATCCAGTGGGAGACACTGTGGAGAGAGGGGGGCTCCTGCTTCCAGGCTGGAGCAGCCTGGCCTTAGAGGACTGCACCCCGTGGAAGAGTGACCCACATGGCAGCAGTTTTGGGAGGACTGTTTGTCCATGGGAAGGAGTCAAGTTGCAGCAGTTTTGGCAGGACTGTTGCTCATGAGATTTGGAGCCATGCTGGAGAAGTTCATGGAGAACTGTCTCCCATGAGAAGGGACCCCATGGTGTAGCAGGGGAAGGACTCCTCTCCCTGAGTAGTGGAGGAAAGCTTCAGGTGACAAAAACTGTCAAAAAAAAGTGACTGACCAAAACCCTCAGCCTCCTGTCTCCCTGCACTGTTGGTGGGAAGGAGGGAGTTTATTTTATTAAGGGTTTATTTTACATCTCATTATCCTCCTCTGACTCTGATAGTAATAAATTCACTTTGTACCTTTAAGATCAGCCTGTTTTGCTCTTGGACTGTTTTCTCCCAGTCCTTATCTCAACACATGAAGCCTTCATTAAATTTTTCTTTCCTCTGCCCAGCTGTGGCAAGGGAGGGTGAGTGAGTGGCTTTTGTGGGTGCCTGGTAACGACCAGGCCAGTATCAAACCATGACATGCATGTATCCTTACACATGGCCTTCTTCTGAGTTTGGTACAGGCCCACCATCTAATCTACTGTTCAGGCAAAGATTTCGGGTTTTCAATTTTCTGTTTCCTGGATAATGAGCACTATGCTCTTTCCTTTATCCTTTCAGTGGGCTGAACTGGGAGTACTCATTTATTATCTTGGGAGAGTAGTAATAAAAAGATCATTCTATACTTAAGGTTAGTTGACCTCTCAAGGTTGCATGCTCAGTAATGCAGGCAAACAAGATAGATCATTTTCACAGCTTTTAGCTTGCCAGGATTCCCAGGGCACACATAGCACCAGCTGCAACAAAGAACTTGCAAAAAGAGATAGAACTGAAGTGATAGTGTTCCTCAGAATGGACCGATGGTAGGTGAGGTGGCCAGGGAACAGACAAATCATTGGTAAGTGAGATTGCAAGAAACAAAGTAAAGCTTGGACCTCCTCTCAAACTTCCTCTGCCATAGCCTTGTTAGGTCAGTGACCATCACAGAGACAACCCTGGAGGAAACTGAAAAAGATGGCACAGCCTCTAACAGGTTGGTTGTTCTTGCAAGCCTACTGAATGGCCCACAGCAACAGTTGGGTGAACCTCAGCACAGATACAGCCACCAGATTGCCTTTTTAGACTTTATGTCTAGAATTTGACTTTTCTTTATCTAAAGCCTCTAGAGTTGCAGAATGAACTTGAAAGCAGGACTGAATGTAAACCAAGAAAAGATAGCTGCCTGAGTTCACAGAAGACAGCAGTTCTGCATAGCATTGATCAGTAAGAGTGATAATTCAGATGCACATTGTAATGCTTCATACATGCATTGCTGTTGCGTCACTTTCAGCATGATAGCTACACATTGCCATTAAATTGTAGATCAAAGCATGGACAAAACTGAGAAAATTTAAACTATATGCTTCTTTTTGGTGAACATGGCAGAAAGAGTGCTTTGCAGCATTTTCCCCAATGTATTTGAAGAATCGAGCACAACAGCACTTCTTGAAAGAACAGGAAGCATGTGTGACTAGTTCAGAAAATACAGTCTCCCTGATTTGTGTGTCAGTGCACCTAGCCCAATCTGCATGTGACTGTCATGACAGGTGTAAAAGTTCCCTTTGCAGTCACCCCTCCCTCCCCAGTTCTTTCTCTGGTCCCAATGCACATTCGCATTTAGGATTTAGCATAGTGCAGTTCCTGCAGTGTCCTTTACTGTTTACTACTGCCTTTATATAAATCAAAGAATGAGGAAATAAAAAGTAAGTAATGCTAATATCTTCCTTGCACCTAAGCAAGATTTACAGCTTGAAACCACCATTACAGAAAATTCTTGGCAAAGGACAGAAAAAAACCCAATACGTGAGATATCATTTTGCTTCAAAGGATTTTTTTTCCTCTTTCACCTCTTTATAGTCTCAAAATTTTGAACTAAAAGAGAAAAGTACCACAAATTCAGTTTCTTCATGAGGATGCTCCATTTGCTCCTACACTGAAGAAACCCCTCAGAGATGTACCTTATTTCTACAAACACAGTTACTAGCTGTGCCAGCCGCTGGGATATGGACAACAAGGATAAGCAACAACATTGAATAATCAAAAGGTCAAGTCAAGAAGACTTGCAAAAATGGAAAGGGAAGAAAAGGGAAAATATAGCATCTCTGTAGGGTTTCAAAACTTCTATTAAACGCCACCATCTTCCTGACCTCAAGAAATTTGAGGAAGGAACTACCCTCAGAGAAACAGGTTCTTTTACTTCCCAGTATTCTTCTCTTTGGTGAAGAGGAAAGCTCAATAGCTTTTGAAACATCCCTCTTTTCTACACTGAGAGGAAAATAAAGGCGAAGCACAATAAGATGCAGAAGAGTTAATAAGCATTCTAGCAATCAGGATGCTGGCTTTGTGTTTACATGGAAAGGAGGAAAGTGCATTTGGTAGAATAGGACTGATTCAGAGCAGAAACTGTAAACACTGATATGAGCCAAATTTTAGATTGTGTAAAATGTGTGGGAGTAGTTCTCAGTCTCCAGTTCCTTTCTATAGGAGCTCTAAATAACAGCTCACAAAGATGACAGATATGTCAGTTCATACTTATGTAACAAGACTATTTTCTTGGTGGTATTACCACAGTTCATGGGAGGCATTAATTTGTGCTAGAAAGGTACTGTATAATAAATTGCAATTCATCACCTCAGAGCCAGAAAGTCTGTCCAATGAAGCAACAAGTAATTGGGGTTAGAATTTAGGATTGCACTGGGAGTAGATTATAAACTCCTTGGAGCACCTTTAGTTTTCTGCGTTGTGTTTATAACATTAAGAGTAATGGAGCATTGCTGCTTAGTTAGGCTTCATCAGCACTTCCACCACAGACCTCAGCACCCATGGGGAACTTCACAACACATGTGCACTCCGAAACTATTAATCTACTCACTCTTATAAAATCAGTATTATTATACAGCACTGATGAAAGTAATCCACAAAATGAAACCATGTAAATACTTCTTTGTAACAAGGCAACCACAAAGCTGCATTTAGTTGAGGTTGAGTTCTATTCTTAATTACTGGTGAAAATGTAATGTCACTCTGATCTCAAGCAGTTCAAGCATGATGTTACATATGACAACAAATGTCCTTTTATTTTCAGCCTATATTTTAGCGCTCTGCATGCACAAATGCAACTGTTACCTGTGTTTTAAAATTGCAGAACATAATCTTGTACCCACCAAAAATTAAAATCTTACCTGTTCCCCTGCAACACCTTCAAAATCAGCAAGTTTAATGTTAAACAACATTGTGTTCTTAAGACACAATTAAAGAAAATAAAAAAGTAACTGACCTCTTGCCGTTTGAAATTTTGAACATATTCTTCAAACTGTTCATCTTTCGTTTCATCTGCTTTTCCTAGTTTTTGAAGAACCTATAGTGAAAAGAATAAGGAATAATTTAATATTTATAACACAAATCAAAACATCTGCTACTTTCAACATTTCCATTTTTGCAGTTAGATATAAATAGCATTTTACTTTTGGGAATGTTTTGTTCTCTACAATTTCCAAAATTCACAAAAGAAACTATTTTGTCAAAAAAAAAAAAAAAAAAAAAAGGCAGGTGTAGTTACCACAGGCAGGAGGGTGGGGGTGTGGGTTCTTGTTTTTTCAAAGCAAGAAAGAATGAGAGAATTCTGCTGGCACTACAAATTGTCCTCCAGTTCAGACAAAGAAAGAAAAAACCTCATCAGGTTTTTCTTCTCATTACATTGAACAGTATTAACATTATTCTTATTTGCATGATTTTCAACTTATAGTCATAAAAATTAAAGAACTGTAAGGTTGATGCTTATTTAAAACATAGTGTTCATTTTGCTCCCCTCATTAATTTATAAGTAGATTGTCATCCACTAGATAATAATCATGCTACAATAATTCAACAGTAAGGGCTATTCAATCAGCAATCTCCAAAGTAATTTGATGCAGCTACACTTTGCACTGTATTTAACCACAATAAATGCATTCTATTATTAAATCCCATTGCTATCCATTCATTATAATACTGAAGACTTAAACATAGCTGCAAACAGGCTTCACCCTACTGGTAAGCAATCCCTAAATCTTTACAGAGTACTTGGTTGCAGGAATGAACTATCCCACAGATTGATGTTCAGACTGCTCTCCCATTATAAATTGACCAAACTATCTATTTGCACAGTTAATAACAAAACCAAACAAATTAAAACAAAACCAAAATGAAACCCAGAAGCCTTACAAAATTGAAACAGTAGCAATTAGCAGATGCTATGAATAAACATATAAACATTATAACCTATTCTTCTCAAAACAAAGAATGTACAGCTCCAGTACTACCATATTCTTTCTCGGACCACCTCCTTCTCCCAAGTCCAGCCAGCCTCACAGCACAAAATCAGGCTGCACAAAGAGGTGATGAGCATTGCTACTGTGGAAACCAGAGGTCAAGATAATCATGAAGGTGACACAACACTACCTGTGGACATGGCATAAGAAAGGAAGTTTTGACATAATTACAGCAGAAAGACTGAAAGAATGGTATCAGAGAAGAAAAAAAGATATAGACTAGCTTTTTGCTGCCAATAGCTGTGTTCATTTTCTGGCATATATGGGCATTTTTAGTTGCTTTTAAGACAGTTAACTAATCCCAAAAACCTCATACACTCTCATCACAAACCTCTTCATAAAATATTAATAAGTATCATAGAAAATTATAAAGAGAAATCATGTAACATTTTGAATCATCACAGGCCTTCACATTGCTCCTTGTCACCAATGAGGCAAACAGGCTGCCCCTAACTGTGGCAGAGCTTTGGTCCATACCAGGGGGCTTTCTGAAAATCCAACATGTTCTTTTCAAGGAGGTGGCTGCCAGGTAAGCCTCCTGACCATGGCAATGCATTCAAAACACATTTGAAGCAAGAAGCATGTTAAATGTAGTATGAGTATTCATAACATAGATAATAAACTACAGCATCAAAAGTTTTCATGATAGACTCTTTTTTTCCCATATCAATGGCACACATCCACATTTTCAAATGTGCAGTCAGGACCAAGAGTGCAAGGCTTAGAAGGGAACAACCTCCCGTAGCAGCTACCTGCTATGGTTTGGGGATTTTTTATCCTATTGCCAACTTTCCATTTATATACAGATATTTAGCTGAACCAAGATGCAGTGTTACAATTTAGCCTCTACAAACACCAACCATAATCTTAATACAGATAATTTGTAGCATAGTTTCTCAATTTTCCCAATCCAAATGAAAACTATATATATCATATGGTTGGATCTAAAAGTTCCAAGCCAGAGACTCATAGAAACTTAACCTCATGGAAGTCCTGCAGCTCATGCCATGTACACAGATAACTGGGGTTCACTTACGCTTTTGCTAAAAGCAACCCTAATCCCATCCCCACAATTCCATATAGAGACAGTGGACCAGACTGGGGCTAAAATAAACTATTTCTCACAGGTTCTTTTAAATCCCACCCATATAACTCCATGGACTAATGAATGTGTAGCTCAGCCTTTTACAACCAACCCATTCTCAAGTTTACATTGGTAGTCTAAACAGAAAAGTGGCCAGGTTGACAGTTGTAGAAACTGACAGAAACTGACCTACCTTTCAGCCCTCAAAGTGGAAGTTGCTTGTCAATAGAAGTCTATAGTTTATAGTTTATAGTTTATTTTTGCTCAGTTAGGTCAGCACCTATAGAGTGTTTCTGGGGTAGGGTCAAAACCAAATGAAGGCTTATCTGCCACACATGTGGGTTACTCTAAGTCCATAACTCATGGACAGGCTAAAATAAATTTTAAACATCTTGTTCATCTTGTTCTGTGGAATATCTGGGTTAAAGTCAGGGTTTGGTCTATGGCTAAGGTTAGGAAACGGCAAGTAGCACTAGGTTTAAAATGACGGAAAATAGACTTGAAACATACAGGTCATTGGAAAGCATCTGATAGTTCTTAATGGTAAAATGAAGGCTGTGCTCAGGAGCAGCAAGTGCTTAACCCCCTTCTTAAGCTTCAGTTTGACCACCCTTCTCGACAAGAATTAACTTTAATAAGAGGAATAGCACAGTCTATTTATTGGTGGCCAATGTGGACAGGAGAAGGGTAGATAGACTGTGTTTCACAGGAGACTTGGAGGGCTCTACAACATGCTAACGAGTGGAAATCTGGACTGATAAGTACATAATAATGTACTTTAGGCCCAAGTGGTAAGTAATCCATATTATGGATTTGATTTCAGCTTATTAGGAAAAAAAAAAAAAGCAGAGGAATCAAAGATCTTGAACATGTGGTAGCCTGAAGGGCTTGAGTGAGTCCAGAACTTAGTGAAGGCAAGTGGCTAGCAATTATTTTTTTCTTAGGATACCCATACAGAAAAATAAAATTTGAGGTTACGTTTGAGAACATCTATCAATGTGTATGAACAATAAAATAAATTTTAAAAATTTAAGAAATGGACACTAACTGAATCTCAGTAAATGTTCAATATTCAAGTTTGTAATCTTCTGAAGATTGTATAAAATAGTTGATGAATATGTTCACCCTAATAAAATAAACCAGGATAAAAGCTACCTCATTTAATACAATTAAACTGACTCAGCTACCACTAAGCTTCCTCTTAAAATAACTGAAAAATATATTTTTAAAAAGTATCTAAAATGAGTATCAGTGTTCATCTAGCATGTTGCTAAGAATATATGACCTAAACAGTTAAGTCCAATTAGCACAGAGAATGAAGTTAAAGCTAAATTTAGTACTATGGTAAATTTAGATACAGTCAAGTAAAAACATGTAGAGAGGAATTGCCAAGAAATGTGGTACTGACATAACATATTCTACACATATTCTACACTAAGACACAAAATTTGAGTAAGAACATCAATCATGACTGATGTTATTTTTAAATGTCACCAAGAGTATTTCCATTTGGGGTTGCTGCATCTTCAAAAAAACTTTCAGATGATGCAAGATTAAAAAATATGACTTTAGTCTTCTGAGTGCCTTTATTTACCATATAATACATTCAGTTTTATGAGGATCTTAAATTCAACTGAGCAATTTTAGAAAAATTGTAATGTGAATGTTGTTAAGTGCTTGCAACATACTGAAGAAACTAATATAGTAAAATAAACTACAGGTTAGCTTGAGAAAGCTTTATTACACTGAAAACTCTTGTCTTGAGGCAAGAGTGTTTTACTGCTTACTGAGACTACCACCCTGAGAGGCCTAGCCATCATTTCCTAAAAAAGTTTTTAATACTATGGCAATTCAAGGAAAGGGAAAAAAAAAAAAAGAAAAAAACCCAGTGCTGAAACTGATTCTTTGATGTAAGCTGTGGCCACCCAGAAGCTGCCTCAAGGGCAGATAAGCTTCCTGCAGGGCAGCAGCAGGGTGGACAGGAACTGACATCATCAGACATCCAAATTACATCATCCCCAGACACACATCAGTATTCTTAAAGAACAACCAACATGTTTAAAACCACTCAGAGTAGGAAGATATGACTGCTCAGACAGGGCTACTCAAGAGAAGACTTCATAAGAAATTAACAGGACCATTAAAATATTGAAAAAATTAAGCTAAGGTAATTTGCCAAAAGTAGCACAATTTAGGGTATAAGAGAACAATCCCAAGAAAAACACTTACGAGAGTTAAAAACCATTGTCACAGATTCTCTGTCCAAATTTTTTTGAGAACAGTAAAGTGCTCTGGATCTCAAGAAATCCACACTCATGCATCTATAACACTGTTCCACAACAGTTTTACAACACCATTCTACAACTTTTTTCTTTTTTTAATCTAATTCCATACTCTTTTACAGCTGTAAAAGAAATACTAGGGCTGCATGACTAATATTTTCAATTTTCCAGAGGAGTTTCAAGATGGTACTTCTGGGCAGAAATTGGTTAAAATGAAAACCAGCCATGCCGGAGAAATAATTTTAGAGTTATCCTTGTGCAAAACATCATATGGATATCAGCAAATGCTCACAAAATTTAAGGAAGTATTTGGCTTCTATAAAATAGAAGCTTTGAAAGATATGATACACAACAGTTATGATACACAACAGTGCTTATCTGGCATTTAAAAAAAAAACAGAAACACAATGGGTTAAGTTTGAAGTAAGCATGACTATATTTTAACTTAAGCAACTACGAAGTAGCATATATCAACTCATAAAGCAAAAATACATGGCCTTGTTATAAATAACTATGTAGTTATTATCTTCTGCTATAATTAGCTTTTGTAAATTATTTTGATATACCACAGTTTGTAAACTCCTTTTAACTGCATTTGATACAGTATAATTTGTCAGCCTTTTATGGTTAATACCCTAATACCTGTGTAGATTGTATATTTTAGTGGGATAAATACATATTA